TCTGTGGCAGTGCCCACACAGGGACCCCAGCCCCTCCACAGCACCCCGCACTGCAAGCTTCCCCACAGCAGTGCCCTGCTCAGCCCCAGCTCCACACCCTCCCTCAGCAGGGGCTGGTGCTGCCGGGTTCGGGGCACGCGTTTGCTGCCACAGCCCGCCCTGGCTCCCGACACTGCAAGCTTCCCTTAAGCAGTGCCCTCCCAGAGCTGCCCCAGCATGGAGGATACAGCTCCATGACAATGATGAGGGCGTTCTTCTTCTCAAAGGCATCGTGGAAGTAGACCATGCGCTCGTGGTCCAGGCGCGAGAGGATGTGCAGCTCCCGGCGCGCTGACGCCTTGGCCTTGGCCCGCCCGGGGATGAACTTGGCGGCATACTCCAGCATGCTGCTCTTCTCCGTCACCCGCCGCAGGTAGGAGAAGGCCCCTCTGCAAGGCACCGGCCGTCGGGGGGGGCACACGTTGCCCCCCACAGTGCGTGGGCAGGACCCCCAGCCCCGGGGACACAGGAGTAGGCTGGGGCATCCCCTCACCTCCCGATCTCCTCATGCACATCGTAGTAGTCAGTCAGCCGCCGCGCCTTGTCCTCGCTTGCCGCCGCCTCGGCCTTGGGCTGGGCTGCAAGGCAGAGACGTGGGGTCAGGCCTGATGCTACGGTGACCAGGACTGGGACCGGGACCAGGACAGCCTGCAGAGGCAGGGACCGGCTCGTGCCCCCAGCCTGGACGGTACCTTGGCGCACGACCAGCTCGGCCTTGCAGGAGACGAGGCCGGCGGGGTTGCGAGCCGTGCAGGTGTAGACGCCGGCGTCCTCGGGGGTGGCGCCCAGCAGCACCAGGGAGCACTCGCTGTCGTCGTACACAAAGCTCACGTGGGCGCTCTCCTCCAGCCGCACCTCGTCCTGGGCACAGCGGGTGATGGGGGGTCAGCACAGAGGTGGGGAGATGGCAATCACCCCCCTCCCAGTACCAGGACCCCGATGGCTGTATGCAGACCCTTCCCCAGGGGTGGGGGCACTGCACGACCCCGCAGCCCCCAGGGACTCCTGGCCAGAGCCTGGCAGGAGGCAGAGCAGGTTGGAATCCCCTGGGCTGCAGGGATGGAGGCAGCATCGCTGCGGGGCCCTGTGATGAGCTCTGGGAGCTGGGGGTTCCCCAGGGGCAAGGACTGCGCCTGCACGGACTCCTGGGGCAGTCAGGGGGGCGCACACGGCACGGACAGCTCCAGGCACCGGGCCAGCGCAGCGCGATCTGCCCACCCTGCCTGGCATAGTCCAGGAGGTCCCCGATGCGGGGGATCTGGGCCAGGACCTCCAGCAAGCAGGACGGGGCGTTGGGGTGCAAGAGGCTTAGATTTAGAATAGCAGGAGGCTG